GATGCCGGTAGAACTGAAATAACTATGATGTTTGAAACCTTTTGTTCTTCTCAAGAAATAAATTAAAATATGCAACTATTTCAGCCAATTTGTTTCATCATAATCTTACAGGGTTAAATCTTTTGATAACTAAATTTCTTTTGCCGTTAGCTTTGAAGTGTAAAAAATTAGTGGTCCCTATGTGAGAGTAGTAGAACAATGTTGGTGATGCCACTATATTGTACTGCATCATTATTGTTATATCCTTTAAAATAATTTTTTTGTTTTGTCTTTTGAAGTTAAGTCATGAGCACTTTAAAAAAAATTAAAAGCATATGCTTGTTTAGACTTGGATATGATGAAATAGATAGGAAGAAGATATGAAGCTAACACATAAAAAAGAATAAGGACAAGGTAAAATATTTTTTGTTTCACTTAAAAAAATTTATTATAACTTCAAATTTTTTTTATGTCTTTCATGACCTAACACATAGGGTTTATATAATCTCTATCTATATATTATATTTATTATATTCAATATAAATCTCTCTTATGCAAGAAATCTTTTTCATGAACTAATAATCAATTTAGACCTTTAATATGAAGTAGTTTTACTTTATTATTTTTATCATGATCTATTATAAAATAAAATATTATACTAATATATTTTGATCTTTCATAGTAGATTAAATTCTTGGCTAAGGTAATAATTAACTTGTTATCAATATAAATCTTGATTGGCTTCTACTACAACACCTAAAGTTTTTAACGAGGTTTTAGATTTGGAGTTAAGAAAGCTAACTGAAGTCAGAAAAAAGTCAAGTTCTGTATACCAATCTCGTGGAGCTTGACAAAATCCATAAATAGCTTTTCGTAATTTGCAAACATGTCTATATTGAGGATGAATAAAATCAGGAGGTTGGTGTATAAAAAACAGCTTCAGTTAGAGTCCCCTCATGATCCTCACTATACCACTCCAGTTCAGCAATTGCCCATTCCCTCCATTCCTACTCTATCTCTTTCTTCTCCAAATGTTGGGGTAATTAGTTCGCCAACACAACCTCAATTCCGTAGTCTCCAACCGACCACACACTCTAAGAATGGTATTTTCAAACCGCGTAAAATCTTTAACCTTCATGCTATCATGGATTCCTTATCGATCACAGTTGAACTTACCACCTTCACTCAAGCCCAAAAGAGTAGTCTTCTTAACCATATTGTATGACAAACACAAGAAAATACTGTTATATATTTTGCTTTATACCATGATAGAGCAACAAAATATATTTTCTTTTGAAGAACATGTGAATGTAGTTTCACCAAAATAAAATATAAATCTTATTGTTCTATTTCAACTTTTGACTCAATTACTATCAGTATAACCAATGAGCTTTAACCTTTTAGATAATGAATATAATATGTCATAGTCAATTATTCCTTTAATATTTTATAAAATTTTTTTAGTGGCCTTTAAATGATATCTTACGAGCTTCTATATTCTACTTAGCAAACCAATTTCAAATAATATCTCAGGTCGAGACATTTAACTAGAGTTTGTAACCATTAGAATTCTTAACATAATCTAACAAGATATATTTTTAATTTTTATCTTTAAGCTTTTTTTTTTCTTTTCATCTAGTATCTTGGCAAATGCAATACTTTAAAAAATTGTCAAATAAACTCTCGATTTTTATAAGCTATATACTTTTTTTGATGTAATATTATCAATTTGTTTTGTCGAAAACTTGCTAAGCAAATAAACTATATAAGTAATAACTTTAACATGTATTCATTACTAAATTCTTAAATTCTATAAATTTACTTTTTTTCTTTTACTTTAACATGTAAACATAATTTTTGCTATTATGATCATCAGTAAAGATAAGAAAATATACTTCCTTCAAGTGATATTGGATCTGATAGTGCCATAAATATCTAAGTGCATCATATCAAGTTAATGTTATGCTCTTTTTATTTTTCTTAATTTCTTAACAATCTTGTCATCATATTATACTTCTTTAATAGTTTTAAGGTCTCAAAATTTAAGAACCAAATCTAAGCTATCATAATATAGAATTATCCTTAATATAGATTTTAAAATAATTTGATTGATAAAAAATATATAAATGTAAAGAAAATATTTTATTTTTCATCATTTTTATATGTGAGATTAATGTTTTATTTTGTCATGAATTGAAAGAGTGATATCTTAATATCATAATTTTTTCAAGCAATTACCTCAAGCTCAAAATATTATTTTTCATATCAAAAACATAATAAACATCTAAGATGCATAATTTTTTATTAGTATTAAGTTCAAGAAAAAAATTACTTTTACCTTTTACTAGATATATCACCATATATAATATTATCAAAATAACTTATATCTATTTTGAAAAAAGTTTTTTGTTGTCACACATGTGATTTGAATTTTTATATCTAAATAATATGTCATAGTATGATCTTTTTTTCAAATTATCATAAGTCACTAGCAAAATAAGATTTTAATTTTTCTTTCTCAATAAAATTTATTTTATCATTTTGATTGTTAGGATTAGAATAATATTAAAAGAGTAGTCTCCATATTTTTTATAAATATAACATTATATTTTAAACCTTTTAGAATTTTTATCACGTCCATGACCTTAGCCTTGTCATCAACCTCTTTGTTTATTTTAGATTTGTGATTAGTTTAATTTTTGCCACCTTTTCTTTTTTGTTCACCACCTCTTCCTCTTTGAGATTTGAATTCACTTTTATTCTAAGAGTATGCTTGGTTTATATTGTATGCCTTATAAATTTTTCTTGTTCTCCTTTTGTAAGTCTTTGTTCATAAACTTGAAGAGAATTAATTAATTATTCTAAAGATATTTATTCCAAGTTTTTAGACTCTTCAATTACAATAGTAATAAAATTGAACTTTGGATATAGAGATCTTAGTATTTATTATTATTTATTTATTTTATAAATTTATTTGATAAATAATAGAAATAATTTTTGAAAAATAATTAGAAATAAATATAAAAGTATCTTATTGTAATTTTTCAAGCCTAGCTTGTAAAACTTATAAGTAGTTTTTTTACCATGTTCATGCCATCAAATTCTTGAAGCCTTTGGTAAATCATGAATAAATCATTCTTTTTTTTTTTTTTTTTTGATTTGTTTTCCTATTCCTCTATCCATTACACCTCATTCATCTTGGAAGTTTAAAAGGGCCTTTATTTAGATTCATCATAATTTTCTTTTGTCAATCTAAGATTTAGAAATAGAGCTATTGAAGAGTAAGAACAAGATAAAATATTCTTCCTTTTACTTAAAAGAAACTCATTATAATTTCATGAAACTTTATTTCTTCATGACTGGAATTTATCTAGTACCCATGGATAAATTATATTATTACATTTAATATGAATATCTTTTCTTGAAGAGATCCTTTTTAAAAATTAATAATCAATTTAATTTATTCTTTTATAAGCCTTTAATCACCTCTTGATGCAATGAACTTTATTATGCTACCAAGTTTAATTTCAACAAGATCTGCTATAATAGTGTTAATAAGTCTGCCCTTGTTTCTACAATTTAAATTGTTTATCATAATGTCTGATACTCACTATCTAACCTGTAGTGTTTCATATCATTTTCTATAAATGAAAAGTTTGACAGTGATAAAAAGCTTAGCAACAGCAAAAATATGAAAGCGACTATCC